AATTAATGTAATTGCGCCAGATATCCTCCGGGAGCAGCATGTACGAACAAAGGTTCGGCCTATGGGTACAATATGAATAGACAGTAGTCCATTGACAGGACATGGACATTCGGAGTATCGGAGAATTCATGAGCATATTCTGGGTGGAGGTGGGAGAAGGGAGCAACCTACGGACCTAGGGTGAATGGGCAGACCATCGGTCCGTTTCTGGGAAGCATATCGCTGCCCTGCATACGCACTCTGCACCCCCGTAACCCTTGATGTATAGTAATCGGTGCGTAATGTCCCAATTGCGCTGGATGTAAAAGCAAGGGTCAGGTTTGGATGATGCCCGGTGACCGGAAACCGATGGGAAAAAAATTCCACTCCATCGAAAGTTTCCTCATCCGATAGTCAGCAGCGTCCCCCGCGTGAAATTTCAAAGATACACTTTCAAGGTAAAGCGAAACTACCGTTTGCCATCCGATTTTGATGAGTAGCCGTTTTCCATGTGCTCGATAGTCGGCGAGGAAGATCGCTCGAAATTTTGGTACATGAATATTCACGCATCGCGCAGGTACTGCGATTTAAAAGGTTATGTTAAAACGAACCCCGGGGAACCGACCGGAAGGATCCCTTGATTTTCAATTTTGAATTTCCCTGTTTTAATTAGACAACTTCTTCCTGAAAACTGGGCAGAATTTCTAGTTGGCTTCTGATGACTGCTCGAATTTTTCAGACGGGCTCCGTATATCGGAGGGAAAATATTATCGCAATTGCGTCACGTGAGGTTTCGATGGAAAGAATTTCAGTGAATTGCCAGGAATTTCAAGGAAACCGTCTGGAGGGGTAGACGAGAGTAGGATACCTCGGCAGGACTCGAATAGGAAAAAGAGTGGAATCTTTGAACATAGCGCGACATCGTTCCTGTGATATGATTCGATGTTCACGACAGGATGGTCCGTTCTCTGTCCACCCAGGACGACCGTTGCTCTCAAAGAAAGTAATTTGTACCCCGATGCCAACTTCTTAGGAAAAGGAGGGCGCAGGGGAGTAATTTTTCCCGATTTTCCCGAGCAACCACGTCGGGAGTATCGATTTCGCCGAGTAACCTCGCCAAGACTTGGAGGATCCTTTCGGTAGGGGTTGCGATCGCCGTGGAAGCTTTCGTGGATATTTAACGAGATATAATTTCGAAATGTATGTCGCCATCTGGCAGCGAGACATTTCCCGCCCACTCCCGTCTCCGTTTCCCGCTTTTCCCTTTTTCCGCCTCCTTTTCCCTCTTTGCCCCCGGTTTCCGCCCACGTCGTCTCTTACCGCGGAGCCCTCCGCGGTATAATTATAGTAAATATATCCACGCCAGTTGATTTTTTGACCAAACGTGACGGTCGTCGCGATTTTTATATCAAGGGAGGGCAAAACATCGGGAAAGACAGGGGAATATTCAAGGAATTTTTCCACCATGCCGTGGGAGTGATTTCAACGAATAATTAAACTCGTTCGGATGGTCGGACTTTCCTCGAGCGAAGAGTCTAATCTCTATGGGAATTCTCACGAGCATTTAACGAGAAATAAGTACGGGCCGCCCGTCTGGCAGGAGACACTTCCCGCCCATCCCTTTTCCCTCCTATTTTCTCCTTTATTTTCAATTGTTGGTCCTCTTTCCGCCATTTTCCGCACACCCTCGTCCTTTGCCGGCGCGGAGCTTTCGAGAGATAATTAAATATATCCGCGCACGAAAATGCTCAAATGGATTTTCCGGGGCGAACCTCGGAACGATAAGGGATTTTCTCCCATGGAGGAGCGGCCGGAAAAACGGAGAAACTTTTTCTATTGTTTTTATTGGCTCTTCCGGGCTACTATACTTTCCCCCCTGCCACCCTTCTTCCGGTTTCCGAGTGGGTCTCTTTGTTTCGTCGGTCGTTTCGGACGTTATGGTACCACTTTGGCAAAGAAGGATTTTTCATTAACGCGATCGATGCCGTCACAAGTACTCTTCCTTCCCGCTCTCGGATTTTTCTTTTTTAAACATATTAATCTAGTTTCTTGCGGTGAAGAATTTTTAACGTGTGGTTTGGCTTCGTTCGGATTTTTGTCGAGCACTTTACCGGTACCGCTCCTTAGAATCCGATCCGGAGCCATCAGGGCTCTTAAAGCCCTCTTACCCCGCGCATCGTTCTCCTCTCAGAGGTACTTTGAAACGATCTTCACGTATCGAACCGGAAGTGTAGGTCCCGCACTTCCGTTGGATCGTTACGAGTCGAAGTAGGAGGTCGTTGGTTATCCGTTCGACTCGAATCGATCGAACCGACCGCTACGTTACTAACCTAGTTTGTCATTTCCACCGATTACGAGGTACGTGGGGGGCCACTTTTAAGATAGGACTCGTTCTTACTGCCACTTACGAAAAGGGCGACTCGTCGATTCGAGACCTTGACGAACCACTTCGAGTCCACTTCGCCAAAAAAAATTCTCGAAAAGGCCGAGAAAAAGGGTCCTCTTTTCCAACATTTCGAGTGCTTTTACGGTTTACTAAAGTGCAGTTTCAAATGAACGCGAATGAACGTCCGAATTAAAAATGGGACCCGTAAAATGTACAAGATGATTGGTCAAAGAATGTTAATTGGGAAAAGAATATTTTATCGAAAGTTCCGCTTCCGGCTGCGTGCCGTTTCGTCGGAAAATTTGACAAAATGGGGGTAAATCCGTATTAGAATAACGAACGGCAAACAAAGGTTCTATTCGTTTCTGTCCACTCTCTGAATACGAATTAGCTCGCCTCTATTCGACTCTTTTTAATTTGCTTCAACATGGCGGAGTCCCGTGGTAGAATTAATTTTTTAATCCAAATACCCGCGCTTAACCAGCCACGTCGTAAAACATTTTCTCTCGTACACGGTAATAAATGGGTCACGATAATTCTTAGGTTTTTTCGCGCACACGGGCTGCGTAAAAGCTCTCGACGGGATCTTCTTTCCAGCGAATTATTATCGTTTATTTCAACGATTTTACTCTCACGCGAAGGTCAAATCCAGCCACTTTTCTTTTTCCTAGACTTATAAAATATATGCCGCTCGAAATGAGACAATTCGGAATTTATTTTTTGATATTTCTCGCGGAACCGGCGCACAATATTTTGCATCGAATGGTCTCTTTCCCGAGCGATATCGTTCCGATTGGCGAGCCACATGTGCAGTGCGGCTGTCAGGACAATGGTTTAGAAGGGAAATGCCATAAAGTTCTTGCAGCAAAAGCGATGCCCGGACCTGGACCGACGCCGTCATTTTCAGGCACAGGTAATCCGCACTTCTGAGGAAAATCCGAAATTCCGAGGGCGCGAGTGCTCTCTCCCCTTTCGGTAACTTTTCCGCCTACGCAACGTACGAATCGATTCCAGCATAAAGCGAATCCGTCCTAAATTGGAATATTATCGCCTGTAACGAGTCTCCCAGAGGTCGGTGGGTAACGTTTCGCAAATTAATTACGCCGTCGGCGCGTTTCTTCCATCGACTTCCGTTTCGCGAGTGGATCGCGAAGAATGGCTCGGCCGGGTGCGCACGCGCGGCCTTTCCCTTCTTTCACCCTTTTCTCTTTTCTTCCCGGTTTTCTCCCACCTCTGCCGCCCTCTGTCTTTCTCCCTTTAACCCGCCTTCCCTTCGGCGGCGGGTCTATCTCTTTCCCGACCTGGGCGAGTCGCTCGGGAATGAAAGCGCCGCCGGAAAAAGGGAACGATCCGCGAGAGCGCAGTTGCTCCAACTTTCCACGCAACTCGCGAGTGCACCGACGAAAGAAACATTCAGGCCAGTCAGCCGAGTCGATACACCTCGGAAAAAATTCCCTCCTCAAATAAAGCACTTATTTCGGAAGAGCCGGCATTTCTTTAGAAACTTCGCCCCGGCGGAACTTGACTTTTTCCCCGCGCCGGCGTTCGGTTCTCCTCGAATGAAGTTTACTTTGCGGCTCCGAAATTCTGTCGAGGTTACGTCGATTTGGTTCGAATGATTTTTACGGAGCCTTTGTTTGCCTCCGTTCGACAAAGCGAACAGGAGGGCCCAACGCGAATGGCGGATTCATTTGGCAAATGCTAATTTTACGAGCGTTTGCTCTGTTTATCACCGACGTGGTGATAAAACGCCCAAGATGGCCGCGGTCACCCTGTGCTGAAACGCCATTTGTTCGAAGGCACCGATCCTTTTGTTACATCGAGGAAAGGATTTAGTTACCTGGCTGCCGTTAGCTTCGTTTCTTTCTTGCTCTTTACTGAATCGCTCCGGGATAATGGCGGGTCCGGAAAGGGGGAGGGATCGGAGTTTTCCTTTCTTCCGGGTTCAAGTTCGTGATTCAAGTTCGTTGGAAGCTCGCGTGTACTACTACCCAGATACTTATCTGACATTTATTCGGCGAAGCCTAGACGATGGTATGACGAGGAGCGAATTCATTTTGCAAATGCCATTTGACGAGCTACTCCGATTAGCTTCGTAATGGTTATTAGCGAGGTTGAGGTCACCGATATCACCAAGGGCTGTTATTTTGGGGACAAATGAAGCGAAATAAAAAATCTAACGGAAGGCAGATTCCGGAAATTATTAGAAAATTGGAAGGAGCCCCAAAGCTCGTCAAGGCGCGCCAAGGTGAAAGTTGCCCGAGGAAACCATTTAGGAAATAACCCGGAGGATATTTTCTGGAGATATCCTTGGAACTTCTTGAATTCCCTCGAGTGATTGGAGAAACTGTTCAGACTTTGCGGCGTCCTACCTGACCTGAAAAGAAGAGGGCTTAATTTTCCCGAAATTAGTCGGATAGAAATTCTAAGATAAATAAACTCCCATTCCCGTAGATTATGTTTCCTCTTTCTTCTCCGAGTTGCCTTTCTATTTGTTAGAAAGAACGCACTTTTGTCGGATGCGCGATTAAAAAATGTTTAACATTTCTCGATGCCCGTTGAAGGGGTTGAAGTGTATCCGAGACCTCTAAAAAGACGTGTATACTCAAGTTCGCCAATTTTGGATTGTTTTCAGGTTCCAGCATCAAGTCAACGGTGGCCATTTTGAATTGTCTATTTGCTCGACAACTGTGTTTCGAAGATCCATCTTGCAGCGCTATATTGGAGATTATACCACGCGTGTGTGGTCCCGAGCTGGGTGAGTACTTTTTACTGAAAACCACTGCTTCTTTAAGTTTAATCGACGAGCTTTCAATTATATTCCTGCGCTACCACTTAATTATTTACCTGGGGTTCGTACATAATTAAATTAAAACCTTTGCGGAAGTGGCTCGGGGCGAAAGTTTCTTTCCTAAAGATGAAGTTCGTAGTGGGTGAAATCCCGAGGCGGAGTAAACGTAGACCTTAAAAGCGTTCGCCATTAACGTTGAAGGCACGTGCGAAATGGGCGGAAAGGGCATCCTTTTTACGCACCCACATTCACTCTCGAGGTTTTCGTTGCCGGAAGGTTGGAGGTTGCAGGCTCCATTAGACCTACAGGGTTTAGTGTGCGAAACCACGTAGGAAACAAGTACCTGACCATGACCCGGTCTACATTGCAAGCAATGGACTCTCTCAAGTACACGGTGGACTTCGACACTTGTTAAAACTTCGCCGTTAAAGTTATTACGCGGTTAATCGCGTTACTTCTCGAGACCTTTGACTAACGCAGAGATCCAAATTTAATGTCTTCATGACCTTGAGTACGTAGCTTATCGGGAAAAGCTTTCCCCCGGGACCCGTTTTCCTTCACAAACGAGAGAATCATATCTCGCAAGATGGCGGGCACATACCGTGAGGTAAGTTCGAGTTATTACCGGGACGAGCCATGTGACGAACGGGTGTATTACGACGGTGTATCTTGTCGTTTGCATCGATCGCCGCAGACCTTGGCAGAAATTCGAAATCCCGGAGAATCCCCGTCACTTCTTCCATTTTATTTCGCAACTCGTCTCGAGACACGGAACTTCCCGTCGAAGGTTTCTTTTGAGTATCTCGAGTTCATACCGGAAAATGGAGTAATCGAACTTTAAGCGAAACGATCTCGATCGCAAACTTTGTCGCAAACCGTTCGGAGAAGTTTATCACGAAACGATCCGCACTTCTGGGACGCGACGCCGCGTTCTTAGCTCGGAGTATGATTATTATACTTTTTATCAACCCGGGTAAGTTTTAATCGAACGGAGAGGAGAGCTTGTTAAGAAATTAAAATGATAATTAAAACTAACGGTAATAAAATAATGTCGGAGTAGGCGGGAATTCGAGGTGCACATGCCCACTGTTGGAACACCAGGGTCAATGGGGGTAAAAAGTCATATTTAGAGCGTGTTGAGCGTTAAGGCGATTTATTTCCGTAATCCCGAAAAAAAGCGTGCAGCCGGCACGCTTGCGTGCCACTTTCGAGGAACGAATTGCGAGGGAAAAGTGGAAATTTACTCCGACAACGAGCCCGAGGTAACCTACATATTTGAGTAGACGAGGCGTACTTTTCCGCCCAGCCAGGAGGATTCCGGAAAGTCCTGCGGGAAATTTCGGCGAGATCGGGGCGCGCCCTGCCGATTGAATTTTCCGGGTTTTTCTTAGAAGTCCGTATGTGCCGATCTGCGCTAGGAATTTTATATGGGGAACTTCTCTCAGGAAACGTGGAAAATCGGTCAGCGACGCTTACCACCGGGGAACGAGGGACTCGCGAAATTCACGACACCCTTCGCATTAATTTCAAGGGAAACGGGAGGGAGGGTCGCTATTTCGTTGGCAGAAATTCGGCCTGCGGTAATTTTGCCATTTTGTTCTTGCCACTTCGGATTTGTCGAAGCCCGAAGCGGAATACGAGGTCAGGGGTTTCCACAGATGACGAGCATCGCCGATGTTGATTTCCGGTACAGCACGTGCAGCACGTCACTCGCATCACGAGTTACGTGCACCTACGCGCCGGTTGCGAAACCCCCTCGAAATCGATTCGATGTTTCGAAACTATTACCGCAGCCGTGAGATGGTTTACTGCCCCGGAGATACGTTCCGAACTTGTATAAAATCAACGATAAAATGAAGGAAAATATGCAAAAATAATTACCCTTATTACGATTAATTTCGACACAACCATCAAGGGCCGAGTCCCTTTTCGATGTAAAAACGATGTATGCTAAATAATTTGGCTAAATCATTTCTAACGAATTACAGAAATGCAAAATCCGAGGAAAGCGGACTCGCGGCAAGGATGCCTCCCCTCGCGGGCGGAGACACCGAGGGAAGAAAATGTCTCAAAGTTGTAAAAGCTCGTATTCGAAGTTGGTAGGCGGTGTGGCTGACAGACGGGGTTGGGGCTCGAGTTTTGAGAGAACCGAGGAGGGCTCGTAAGAGAGGGCTGTATACTTGGAGAGACGCGTGCACACAAATATGACCCTCGGGCAGTTGGCTCTTCGCCGACTTGGGGGACTCGGTCAAATCGGAAATCCTCGAGGGTGGCTGCCGTCTAAAGTATTATGCTACTCGAAGCAATAACGCGTCGGGGTGAAGACGCCTGCGAGAAGGGAGTCCTTATTAAAAGGCTTAGGAGCCACTTCCGAGAGACTTCGAGGGTGCGGGACGGGAAATGGCGACGTCGAGACCCCTCCTGCATTAATCGAGGAATTTTATTAAATGAGGGGATTTCCGGAACAGTCGGTAAAGTGCGTGTTTCGATTAAGGATACACGGATGAAGCATCGATTTCGAGCGTCGATATCGATCGGCAGTCTTTGCGAGAAGTTCGGACGACCAGCTGGAATATCTGCCCACCGGTGGGCACGAATGCCTCTCCTTTTAATTTCACTGTACGTTTTACGAGTTTTTCATAATTCGTAGCTTTGCATATTCGACATGCGACTAATAAACTTTGGCCTTGAGGGGCACTAACTAGTTTTTCAAAGTTAAGGACTCGAGGCGCGTAACCGGACCGTCCCGTCCTCCTTTTTTCCCTCCTCTTATCATCATATATACTTATGCAAATCCCACGCGAAACTGTCCGTGCACGGAATCGCGTTGGAATTTCAGAGGGCAGATTTTCCCTGGACAGCAGTCGGATCCGTCAATGTCGGCCGCTGTTCCTAGAATTTTCCAGGGAAACCGCATTTTCCTCGAAAAGTTGCTGGATCGTTGCGGCAATAATGCCGCGCGTGTCCTGGCCAACACGTCCTTAAATCCTTCCGTGTCGTCCTCGAGGGCCGCAGATAAAAGACAAACGCAGTAACGAACGGCGAGTCGTTAACCCGGCCGGTGTTGGCACGGGAAGGAAAACCTTCGGAAAAGCTCCAGGAATGTGGACCGCAAATTGAGAGAAACAATCCCGGGCCCGTAAAAAAGTGCTTCGGTCGCAAATCGTGTGGTTTCCATTCCCTAATATTTGCTCCTTCGATCAAATGAACGCCGAGTCAACGAAAAGCAAAATTCCAGGTCCTAAGAAGACCGGCGAAATAATTGATGCGTACTGAAATAATTTTTAATTCTCGAGAATACGGGGAATATTTATTCCGGAGACACGACGAAAGAACAGTAAATTGCAATAAACTGGCAGAGCAGGAACGGAAGAACGTAAAGGTTTTTTGTACGCAGTTTTCGCGTTTGTTAATAACGCACACGATCACAGGTTAAATGTTTCCCGACAGTAGTTGAAAGCTAATATAATCCGTTCCGCCTGTGCAATACAAACGTCGTAACCAAAGGATCTCGTTAGCGGGATCAAATTATGCACGTCATTATATGGTACCAGATACTCATTACCGGCTGCGTTTCATACGGATAAATAACTGCGGTATTTATCAAGGACTCGGACTTCTCGAATTTCCCACCCGGAACTGCTTCCGATTTGTCGGATATTTCAAACGAATTCCAGCAGAATCGTTTCCTTCTACCATCGCAATTAGAACGGAATAGAGGTCGGTCCGCCATGAGTCCCCTCAAATGTACTTGGAAATTTTTGAGGAAAAAAAATTAATCGTATCGCAACGTCGAAATAATAAAAGAGTCGATCGATCTCGGGGTTCTTTCGCCGGTCAAAATCGGGAACGCGTAATAATTCCGAGATGAAGGATAAACAAGGCAATCGACGGTCGTAATTTTGATTTCCGAAGGAAGAAGCAACTACCCGGCAGAGTCGGGCTCGCCTTGCCGGAGAACCGTAATGGGATTCCCCTCGAAAACGACGACCATTCCTCTCCCTGGAGCTCGTGGAGCGCCTTTTTTCCCGGAGCGCGGAGCGAAGGAGAAAGAGGCCGCCGTAAAGGCCGAGGCTAAGAGAAAGAGAGCGAGGGGACTCGGGCAATCTCGAGGGCGGCGGGCGTGCGCTTTGTCGCTCGTAAAGGGTAATTCCTGCATTCGGTGTTATTTCGTTGGCGGACCCGTGACAAATTTTCAATTTCAAAAGGGGCACCTCCACCCGCCCCGCCCGTGGGCGCCTTCGACCGGGGCTCGCGAGCTCTCTTTAAGCGAATTCCATTTGCGCTCGCGTACCCCCTGGGGTACCTCCCACCCATTCCGCAGCCGATACTTCCGGCCCCTCCTGGCCGAAAGCTCGCGACAAGACCTCCACCCGGAAGGAGGCCCATCTTTCCCGCGCAAGGATCTCGACGCATGGAAATCCAACTCGCGAATCGGCCGATCCGCGAGAGATGTATGGCCGATTTTCCGAGAGCTCGAAAGCGCGGAGGAATTTTACATGCCGAGGTGGAGCTTTCGCGTCTCGCCGGGGGTGAAGCTCGCATAAATATGTAAGGGCCGGCGAGCCAAGCCGCGGCGTGTTTGCCGGATTTTTCCGTCAGTCCGGAAGGGCTCGCTTTCCTCGGACTGGCAGGGCAGGTTTTATTAAGCTCCGGGATTAAGGCAGCCAGAAACGCGGATGCCGCGTGCAATTATTAAGTGGACCGGATATCTTCTCGCGGACGGATTTTTCATGCCCGGGAGGCGTCACCGTTTTTATTGAAAATCGGGAAAGAGACGCTCGAGGCTACTCGGAACGATTATATCGCCATCGAGGGGCGACGCCATCGTTAAGCGATGCTCCGAATCGCCTTCGACTTCGCTGCTATTCTCGAAACCGTGACGGAGATATCGGGAAGTCTTTGCTTTGTCGGTATTTGGAAGCAAAACGAAACCGGAACGTCCGTTTGGTCCCCTCGACACCGGA